TAATAAGAATGATGATAATGGGGATAATAATAATAATAATGACGATGATAATTATGATAAAAGTAATATGAAGAAGAATATGAAGAACTGCAGTGTTTATATCAACATTATCATTACAACTTTCATCATTATCATAATCATAAAATAATGATAATAATGATGTTGTTAATAATAGTAATAATAACAATCACTATAATCTATTATCATTACTATTATTATCATTATTATTATTATTATTATATATATATATATATATATATATATATATATATATATATATATATATATATATATATGTACATATATATATATATATATATATATATATATATATATATATATATATATATATATATATATATATATATGTATCGTCAGATAGAGTGAAGCAGTATACAGGTAAATGAATTATGTATAAAAGAATATTCAAATTATTTGTCACTAATTTTATGTTGAAATAAAAAAAAACATGAAAGATAGTGTATTTCATCTGCCCGTGACTTTGAGTACATTATGACTGTAACGAACCGGAGTGTAAACGCCTGATGCCTTGTTCCCACGACCTCGCCTTTGCTGATGCTACACTTGTGTGTACTGTACGTGTGACCGAAAACATCACACGCATACACACACACACACACGCACACACACACACACACACACACACACTCTCTCTCTCTCTCTCTCTCTCTCTCTCTCTCTCTCTCTCTCTCTCTCTCTCTCTCTCTCTCTCTCTCTCTCTCTCTCTCTCTCTCTCTTTCTCTCTCTCTCTCTCTCTTCTTTTCTTTCGGCTTCTCCCCTCAGATGCCCTTCCTGCCGCCAACCCTCCCCATTCATCCGTGCATGGGACCGTCACGGGCCATTCCACTGGATTGTGACTTTCGTGTCTGTAGGCAATCGAGGTGAAGTTCCTTGCCCAGAAGAACAACGCGCCGAACTCGGATTGTCATGACAGTCTTTGAGTACGAACGATGCTTTAACCACTCAGGCACACACACACACACACACACACACACACACACACACACACACACACACACACACACACACACACACACTCACATTTAGCAACATTTTTATCTTCAATGTATCGTTTTGTTGTTGTTTATAGTTTATCTAAGTAAACAGCCTTACTATTTTATATTTATTAAGGTTGATACAAAAAAAAAAACGAAAACAAAAAACAAAAAGATCGCATGACTTCACTGAAACCCAATGACATCACTGAAGAGCCCATGACGTCATTGAAGATCCGATGACATCACTAAAGATCACATGGCGTCACTGAAGAACCCATGACGTCACTGAAAGTTGCATGGCATCACTGAAGAACCCATGACGTCACTGAAAGTTACATGACATCACTTGAAGAATCCATGACGTCATTGAAGATCCGATGACATCACTAAAGACCACATGGCGTCACTGAAGAACCCATGACGTCACTGAAAGTTGCATGACATCATTGAAGAACCCATGGCGTCACTGAAGAACCCATGACGTCATTGAAAGTTGCATGACGTCACCAGACCTCGAGTTGAAAGTTGTGCGAATCACTTACTTCTCTGTTATGAAGAATAAAATGCTTTATCGTTTCTGACTAAAATTGGGAGGCATATAGTATGCACATTAGCATATCGACAAAATTAAACACTATATACAGTTAAATACTATGCACGAAATAAATACCAGAAAAAGAAAAAAAGAGAAAGAGAGAGAGAAAAAAAAAGAGAGAAAGAGAGAAAGAGAGAGAGAGAGAGAGTGAGAGAGAGAGAGAGAGAGAGAGAGAGAGAGAGAGAGAAAAGAGAGAGAGACAGAGACAGAGAGAGACAGAGACAGAGAGAGACAGAGAAGAGAGAGAGAGAGACAGAGAGAGACAGAGACAGAGAGAGACAGAGACAGAGAGAGACAGAGACAGAGAGAGACAGAGACAGAGAGAGACAGAGACAGAGAGAGACAGAGACAGAGAGAGACAGAGACAGAGAGAGACAGAGACAGAGAGAGACAGAGACAGAGAGAGACAGAGACAGAGAGAGACAGAGACAGAGAGAGACAGAGACAGAGAGAGACAGAGACAGAGAGAGACAGAGACAGAGAGAGACAGAGACAGAGAGAGACAGAGACAGAGAGAGACAGAGACAGAGAGAGACAGAGACAGAGAGAGACAGAGACAGAGAGAGACAGAGACAGAGAGAGACAGAGACAGAGAGAGACAGAGACAGAGAGAGACAGAGACAGAGAGAGACAGAGACAGAGAGAGACAGAGACAGAGAGAGACAGAGACAGAGAGAGACAGAGACAGAGAGAGACAGAGACAGAGAGAGACAGAGACAGAGAGAGACAGAGACAGAGAGAGACAGAGACAGAGAGAGACAGAGACAGAGAGAGACAGAGACAGAGAGAGACAGAGACAGAGAGAGACAGAGACAGAGAGAGACAGAGACAGAGAGAGACAGAGACAGAGAGAGACAGAGACAGAGAGAGACAGAGACAGAGAGAGACAGAGACAGAGAGAGACAGAGACAGAGAGAGACAGAGACAGAGAGAGACAGAGACAGAGAGAGACAGAGACAGAGAGAGACAGAGACAGAGAGAGACAGAGACAGAGAGAGACAGAGACAGAGAGAGACAGAGACAGAGAGAGACAGAGACAGAGAGAGACAGAGACAGAGAGAGACAGAGACAGAGAGAGACAGAGACAGAGAGAGACAGAGACAGAGAGAGACAGAGACAGAGAGAGACAGAGACAGAGAGAGACAGAGACAGAGAGAGACAGAGACAGAGAGAGACAGAGACAGAGAGAGACAGAGACAGAGAGAGACAGAGACAGAGAGAGACAGAGACAGAGAGAGACAGAGACAGAGAGAGACAGAGACAGAGAGAGACAGAGACAGAGAGAGACAGAGACAGAGAGAGACAGAGACAGAGAGAGACAGAGACAGAGAGAGACAGAGACAGAGAGAGACAGAGACAGAGAGAGACAGAGACAGAGAGAGACAGAGACAGAGAGAGACAGAGACAGAGAGAGACAGAGACAGAGAGAGACAGAGACAGAGAGAGACAGAGACAGAGAGAGACAGAGACAGAGAGAGACAGAGACAGAGAGAGACAGAGACAGAGAGAGACAGAGACAGAGAGAGACAGAGACAGAGAGAGTCGCACACTTTATCCAGAGGCACACACACTCCTCCGGCACATTCGTAGGAGAAGGAACTGCACTTCACACGGACTTCTGAAGTGCTGTTCCCCGTCTCTGGGTGGAGAGAGAGAGACAGCTGTATATATATATGTGTGTGAATGTGTATATACCTCTATATATATGTGTGTGTGTGTGTGTGTGTGTGTGTGTGTGTGTGTGTGTGTGTGTGTGTGTGTGTGTGTGTGTGTGTGTGTGTGTGTGTGTGTGTGTGTGTGTGTGTAAACTATATGGATGTAGTCACTGTTCATACCAAATCTATGCTAAGGCATGTATTCAGGTAAACGCATCTAGGGACCGCAGGACAACTCACGGCCACAGTTCTTCTCGTCGTCGCCCGTAACGCAGTTGGCTATACCATTGCACACGAACGACTCCGGAATGCAGGTCCCAGTATCGCACTGGTAATAACCGGGGAAGCATTCCTCGACCCTGGGCGAGTTCTCGGTCGCTTCTGTAAAGGGCAAGGGAAGAGGTAAGAAAAAAAAAAACACGCAAAGATGTGTGATTTCTCGGTCGTTTCTGTAAAGGGCAAAGGAAGAGGTAAACAGAAAGAAAAAGAAAACGTACATGTGCGAATTTTCGAACGTTTCTGTAAAGGGCAAGGGAAGAAGTATATAAAAAAAACGCAAAGATGTACTCGGAAGTTTCTGCGAAGGATAAGGGAAGAGGTTGAGAAAAAAGGTTATAAATGTATGGATGTATGTAAATAATGTATAAATTAAACTGAATTTATTGAAGTGGAGATGTGAATTGATGTGTTTTTGTTTGTAATCTTGGACTTTTGTCTCATTTTTCTTTCGCTTCTGGAAAGTGTGCAATCATTTGGAACCCAAGTACAATAAACGATAAGAAAAATAATTTAAAAAAAGCAAAAGAATATATGATATATGATATATAGTGATCTGAGTAGTTCTAGATAAGTGCCTGGCGAGATGCGCAGCGGGGTTAATGGCCTTCTGAGCCAGTTGGAGGGGTTCTCAGCTGATAAGGATCATTTCGAAACGATTATTTTTGCTTTTTATTTTTGTTTTATATATATTTTTCCGTTTTGCATTTCATTTCGTTCTCCATCTCACTCCTCTCCTCACCCTCCCCCCCCCTCCCCGTTCCTCAAACCCTCAATTTCTCCACGCTCTCACTCACGCCCACACTCCCACACCTTTCCCCACAAAACACACACTCTCCACTCCCCACTCCACACCCTTCCCCTCCCCACACCCTCCTACTTCTCCCCTTCCCTCACTCCTTCCTCACACACTTCCCTCCCTACACCCTCCACTCCCTCATCCCTTCCCCCTCATTCCTCTTTCCCCACACTCCTACCCCATCCCCCCATACCGTCCACCCCCCTCATTCCCCCCTCCTCACATTCACCCCTCCCCCACACCCTCATTTCCCCTCCCCCACACCCTCTACACCCCCCTCCCCCACATTCCTTCCCCATCCCCCACACTCCCACACCCTCCCCCACACTCTTACCCCATCCCCCACACCCTCCCCTCCCACCCTCATTACCCCCTCCCCCAAACTCCCTCCCCTCCCACCCTCATTCCCACCCCCCTCCAACACGCTCCCTACCCTACCCCACCTACCCCACCCCCTCCTCCCCCTTTTCCCCCTCTCCATCCTCCACCCCCCCCTACACACACGCAAAACACTCTCACCGCAGTTCATCTCGTCGTCTCCGGTAACGCAGTTCAAGACCCCGTCGCAGCGGTCGGACTCGGGGATGCAGACGCCCGTGTCGCACTGGTAGAAGCCGGGGAAGCACTCGCTCGTTCGGGAATCGCGGAGGATCGAGCCTGGAGGGAGAGAGAGAAAGTGAGATGGGGAGAAAAAGGGAGAAATGGAGAGAGAGAGAGAGAGCGATGGGGAGAGAGTGAGGGAGAGATGGGGAGAGAGAGAGAAAGCGATGGGGAGAGATGGGGAGAGAGAGAGAGATGGGGAGGGAGAGAGAAATGGAGAAAGAGAGAGAGAGATGGGGAGAGAAAGAGAGAGATGGAGAGAGAGAGAGATGGGGAGAGGGAGAGATATGGGGAGAGAGAGAGAGATGGGGAGAAAGAGAGGGGGGAAGAAAGAGAGAGAGAGAGAAAGAGAGACAGACAGACAGAGAGCGGGGGGAAAGAAGGGGGGAGAGGATGGGTGGAAGGTGAGGGGTAAGGTAAGAGGAGGGGGAGGGAGAGAGTGGAGGGGGGAGGGGGAGAGAGAAGAGAGGAGAGGAACTGGTAAGGGGGGGGAGGGAAAGATGGGTGTAAGAAAGGGGAATGAAACTAGTGGGTGGAAAGAAAGGGAGAAGAAGAGGTGGGTAGAAAGAGGGGTTAGGAATGGAGAGAAAGAGGAGAGAAGGAAGAGAGAAGGAGAAGAAACGCTGGTTGAAAGAAGGAGGAAGGAGAAATTCTGGCTGAAATGGAGTAAGGAAGAGGAAAGAGAAGAGGTGGTAAAAGGAGAAATAAGGAGAAATGGTAATTAGAAGGAGGAGGAATAGGAGGAGAGGAAGAGAAGATATTGAAATGAGAAGGAAAGGGGGAAGAGAAGGAGAAATGTCGGAATCAGGGAGATAGAGGGGAGAGAAGAAGAGGAGAGAAGAAGAGGAGATTGGAATGAGGATATAGGAAGGGAAAGGAAGAGAAGCTAAGACTCGACGAAAAAGGAAGAGAGGAAGGACGAGGGGAAATGGTAGGAAGGAGGAAGATGAGAAGAATGAAGAGGTGGTAAGAAAAAAGAGGAAGGGGTGAGGGGGTAAGAAGGAAAGGGGGGGGGGGCGAGGAGAAATACTGAGGAGGAAAATGGCAGTTAGAATGAGGAGGAAGCAGAAATAATAAAGTGAGGAAGAAGAAAAGGAGAGAAAATAAAGAGGTGATTGTGTGCATGTGTGTGCACACATGCACACTAAATTCTTTCTCCGACATTATATAAAAGCTTTATATATATATATATATATATATATATATATATATATATATATATATATATATATATATATATATATATACATATATATATATATATATATATATATATATATATATATATATATATATATATATATATATATATATATATATATATATTATATATATATATATATATATATATATATATATATATATATATATATATATATATATATATATATATATATATATATATATATATATATATATATATACTGCATAAATATACATAAAGATAAGCTGGTCTCTTATCTGTCCTTGGAAATTGGAACAAAACGCGATAAAATAAGACACGAGAATTTAGAAATGTAATGTTTCCGATTTAGAACGTGGAGGTGACCGTCCTTTGAATATCTCTTAACGAGGGAAGAAGTTCACGGTTGGAATTGTTGAAGTACAAAGTATGAGCGAGAATGAAGCACTATAGAAGGCTGAGTGTGTGAACCTAATTACGTTTTTGATACTATGGCCTTTTTTTAAATATGTTTTAGTTTGACGTCTGATTCCCGAAGTCATTATGTAATATATTTTGTTGAAGAGCAAATTATTTTACTAAAATGGTAATAGCATTCTGATATGATTATTGCGAAAATTGTTTCCTCTCAACTTGTTATATGCACAGGATTGATTGTTTTAATCTTATCGATTCCTTTTCCAACAAACTCGGTTAATTTCTACTCTATGATTTTCGACAATACTGACCAACTATTAAATTACACTCACAATCTAGAGAAATGTCTTAATTTCAGTCAGTTTCCAGTGACGGGAGATTCGTCACTGTCTCGAAAGCCGAGGCCAACCAAAGGTCCTTCCTGGAAACGAGGAAACTCCTTGACGAAAAAGGGGAATCATGGACGACTATTTATAACCACATCGCATACAACAAGTCACTCGAGATTCCCGTTTGCAGAAGCCAGAAGACCCCTAACTATCTTCAAAGGAACCCAGGCAGGTCCTCGACTTGGGACGCTGAGGTTTCTACAGCCTGTCAGGATTTATTGTTCAAAATCAGCAGCCCCAGAATGAGTCTCCAGCACACAAGGATGACCAAAGGGACGTGAATGAATGGTGTTCCAAATGAGACATGCAGCATCATACCCGGACCGTCAGGAGGGCGGTGGCTCTTAGAGTGGCACCTCTAAGCACTCACGTCGAAGGACAAAGATTGAAAAAAATCACCTCTTTTTCCCAAGAGGATGGTTAACGCCACTCCTCCCAAAAGAAAAAAAATCTAGGGTTCGGGGGTTCGACGCTCTCTGAAACCACAAATGATTACGACCCTAAATCTGTCCCTAGCTCAGAAGGGGAGATTGACGCTGCGCATCACTCGAACTCTGCCCACCAAATATGAACATATAATAGATCCGGTCTTCCAGGAAGTGTTCAGCAATTGGACTTCTCATCCACGGGATTTAATGTTTCTGGCAAAGTCTACCGAGGCGATGGAGAGGACAACCCAGGTCGCTATGACGACAGTGACTCAGACTGCCCCAACCCTGAGGGAGGGGAGGGTAACCCCACAATGGCAGATACCCCGCTCGATCTCTGACGTGGGAAAGAAAGAGAAAGGGGGGGGGGACAGAGAGAGGCAGAGAGAGACAGACAGACAGACAGACACACACACACACACACACACACACACACACACACACACACACACACACACACACACACACACACACACACACACACACACACACACACACACACACACATTGACAGACAGACAAATAGACAGACAGACAAACAAACAGCTAAAGATAAAGAGAGTAAAAAGAAACACTTACCACCCGTGCAGGCAACGAGCACTCCCAAAAGCAAAGCCGAGGTGTAGTAGTGCATTGTGGAGAGTGTCCCGTGAACCAGATGCTCAGCAAATATGGCTCTCTCATCGGGTACCCTTATATAAGATGTGCTGAAAACCTTGCCAGATGTAGAGCGATTACAGTGGACATAGAAGGGTAAGGGTACAATAATGATAATAAAAAAAAAAAACGTGACTTGACTTAAAACACCCGTTTCTGTGGGAACATTTCACATGAAATCAGCAAATGTTAGTTTATCTGCCAACGAGTAAGCCTGCCTAGTCCGCTTTCGTAATTCTATATAAAGATCTATTTTATTATGAAAATTTCGCGATAAAGTATGATAATCAAGAGGATCTGATAGATGATGTGTCTCAAGAGGATCACGGGTTCTAATTAAGGGACGTTAGCTGGCCTTGTTAGTGCTCTTTTGTTAGCAATATTTGTTTATTAGAAATATGTATTTTAAAGGCCCATTAATATGTATTTTAAAGGTCCATTAATATGTATTTTAAAGGCCCATAATATACATTTGAAGGCCATATATTATGCAGTTTAAGGTCCTATAATATATGCAGTTTAGGATAAGGATCCCTAATATGCAATTTAAAGATCCATAAAGGCCCCATGATATGCAATTTAAGGTCCTATAATATATGCATTTTAAGGCCTATAATATGCATTTAGAGGCTTCAACCCCTAATGGTAAAATATGCTAGATATCAAAGGTAAGGTAGAACCATAGGAAAGTATAGTATTGGAAAGGGTAGGGGGGTGAGTATATCATTGGGTGTAATACGTCAACAGCAGTAGGATGGTATTGGAAAGGGGTAAGGATGAGTAAAAGAGGCGATGACTGAATGACATTAGGTATTTAAGGTAGGACTAAGCAAACGGGGATTAGATCAAACGAAGGATATGTATGCGTTTGGAAGGAAAACAGATTGCCAAAGCAGAAAGTGTGAGATTCTGTAAGGGTGTCTGATAGCTTGGGAGGTCGGTGCAGGGAGGAGGGGGGAAAGCAGAGATACGGGCTGCAGCAAAGCGTGGACAGGACAACAGAAAGTGTGGAACTGAAAGAGGGACATTACATACAGAACACAGAGGTGGATCAGAACGTGACATGAGATAGGGGTGCATATGGCGGGTGTGGTCAATGCACAAGCAGGCAAGAGTCGTCTCCCAGAGATCGGAGATGGGAAAAGGGGAATAGGAGAGGAGGGTATCCATGCGAATGGAGAAAGGAGTAGGTAAACGTGGAGAAGAAGCAAAGGTAAGAAGCAGGGACCGTGGGATAGTTAGTTTAGCGAGGGAAAGTTGGTGGAATCCAGCATAGCATCGGAGAGAGAGAGAAGGGTACAACGTCGAGAGAGAGATGGCTGACTCAGTGTACAGGCTCTCAACTGGAGAGGAGCGGAAGGTGCCTAGGGCTAAGCGAAGACCCCGGTGGTGAATTGTATCAAGATGGGCAACGAGGGAGGTTGAGGCAGGGGAGGAGATATGGCAACAATAATCGAGAGTGGAGAGGATCAAGGTAATATGAAGAAGGAGAATTTTGCGATCTGAGCCCCAAGATATATGGGAAAGAGTCTGTAAGATTCGGTGGCGGCGGCGAGATACGGTCTCGCCAGGATGGGGCGGTAATCTTGATGGAGGGTGCCCGATTTATTGGTTTCCCAGAAGTGGAAGATAAGAGCTTCTCGTCAATAAGGCGGAAAATCATCTGACGTCCGTATGTCGTTGAAAATAGTTAATAGGAAGGATAGAGAGGAAGATGGAAGATGTCAGAGAATACGGTAGTGAATACCGTCAGGGCCTTCATGAGTGTTGCGGCACGACTGCAAGGCAAGATTGAGTTCAGAGGAAGAAAAAAGAGCATAATAGGACTCGGCAGAGGATAGGGTAAAGATGATGGGATCAGAGATGAGAGTATTCAAAATATGGAGGATGGGGGCTGGATGGGGGGGGGGGGGGGTATTTGTCTGATAGTTTATGGATCCAAAGAGCTGAAACTAATGTAGAAGATATAATTGAGGAAACATAATTTTAAGCGAATCGCTTTGATGCAATCAGAATTCCACCAAGGAACACATTTGGAGGTACAATGTCTTGAGGTTCGAAGAATGGCTGTATTGAGTAAGAAAAACCCATCGTCGACGTGCTTCCTGTCTGGCTTCACGAAGAGTGAGACCAAGTCTGAATCTGAGAGTTGCCACCTCAGACTTAAATTCGTAGGTGGGGCAGCCCCTATAAAATACATTATGAAGGCCGCCACAGCTGGTACATGTGCAACTTGATCGATTATGACCAGGTTGGGCACATAGAGAGCATCGGGCTTAGGAACGGCAGTGTCTGGCAGGATGTCCTAAACGCCAACAATTTTAGCACTGACGGGGAGGAGGTTGATATGTTCGGACAGGGAGGGATTCTCCACCACTGTAAACATTTAAGGGAAGGGTCATGTCTACGGAAAGTAATTTTGGCAATGTTAGTGGGGTTCTTACGATGACCCCTAGGGGGAATGGGGTAGCACTGTACTAATATCGCATTATAATCCGTCTTCTCCACAAACTGACCAATTTTTGTACTAGATATGGCAAGTTGCTGGGGAGAGAGAGACAGTTCTGATACAAGTATTTAGGGCTGGACGAGGTTCTGCAAGAATGGGTTTGCCAGGGAGATCAGTTAGAGTTGATAATGTTATAGCTTGGTTTTCAGATGCAACTGTGACGAGAATGCTTATTTGTTTTTGGAAACATTGCTGGAAGAGAAGAGTGTTGTCAGAGAAGGAGCTGTGGGAAGGATCACGAAAAATCGGTCCCATTTGGCTGGGCTAAATATCGAGTATTGAGGATATTTGTAGAGATGAGGATGGTACAAGGACGGGGACGTGTGGAAGAGAGTAGTGTTGAGGGAGGTAGTATTATGGAGAGGTGGACAATATGGCTGTAAAGCAGTAATAAGGGAGGATGGGGTGGTCGATGAAGGAAGTTGTGGGGGTAGAGGTGATGAAGTTGAGCATGTTGGGAGAGTGGGAATGTCTCCTGGAGATTGAGTGTTAACTTGGGTGGATAATGTACAAGTATGCATTGAGGAGGGGGTTGTGTTCAGAGTCGGGTCATAGGAGAGTCTGGGGTCGGGGAACTGGAAGAGTGAGAGTTGGTGGGGCTATATGATGAGGGGGCAAGCCTCGCTGCCCTTAACAAGGGTATAACGTCTCCATCATTGGCCATGGTAAGCCTAGAGTATGTTGGGGAGAGAAACAGTTCACTCCTCAGGGTCCCCTTGAAAGGTATGGGCTAGGTAACTAAATCAGGGGGGTACCGTGCCCATGGCTCCCTTAGGCCGTTCAGGACTGGCACAAAGTCAGCCCTTCATCCTTTCAGCACGGCTCTCACACCTTAGGAAGTGGATATAGAAGGGGCTAGGGAAGGGATATAACAAAATACACCCTACCAGAACTTTGGATTCCCTTATTCAGTAGATATGAGAAGAAATTTTCCCACTCTTGGTAAATTAGAGGTAAATATAGCATATTATTTATTTGGTATAAGTTCAAAAAAGAGCCATACTAGTGGGCCATGTTAGGGCTATTCCGGGGTAGGGCTCTGGACCATTATATACTAACCAGCGGCTAAGATGATGATGACTCTACAAAAATTTCAAATGACATTTTATTAATGTTCTTGGGAATTCATTGATATGCTGTCCTAAGAGCTCCATATGAATTAACAAAAAAAATCAAATTTTCTTTTCTTAGCAAGCCCTTTTTTATTTTACAACATTCTCACTGTCTGTTTGTCTGTACCCCACCAAAGCTTTCATATTTCAAAGGAAAGAGGAAAACACACCATAAGTAGAATTGTATATTTACATATAAATAAAAGCCATAGGTTCACAACCTCTTAATCTTTGTATGACCAAGAAATAAGTAGATGATTTCTATACATTATGGTTGTCCACGTGAAACAAGAGTCGCTGTGAGGGAGATATTTCTAAGGGTTTTGATTATGGTTAAATGCCTGGCCAGTGCTGACGAGATCGGTAGTTTAGATTTCTCTTTTTATTTTTTTCTTTCAAACGCTGTAAATACCCGAAGAAGAAAGTTCAAAGTTCGGCACTTAAAACGGAATTTGAAAATCTTCGTCTGACACTCAGGAGAGAGAAAGAAAACTCAGAAGGGCAGACCACCTTAAAACAGGACAAATTTTCAAAAAGACACGTAATCCATTAAACCAATGAGAAGAATAACGATGACCAAAATAGAAAAAGGAACCCATCGGTCTATTTTCTCTTTTATGGAATGAAAGACCAAAGATGAACCCAAAATTAAACTAAATCTCGTGTTAATGTCTGCCAATACAAATGCAGAGAACAACACTGACCAGCAGGACCCCCTCTCCAGGTAAGGGATATACAGGAAGGGGGTGGGGGGGGGAATGGGAAAAAAAATTACGCAGGGAAAACAATCTCGTGCTTTTCTTTTCCCTTGGGAGAGGGAAGGGGGGATGGAGGGGAGGGGAGGGGAAGAGGAGATGGAGG